CCTTCCTTCCTTCTCCCTCCCTCCTTCCTTCTTTCCTCCTTCTCTCCCTCGCTACCGATTGTCAGACGCCTCCAGCCCCGTTTCTCCAGTTCTTAGGTTCTTTTAAGACAAGTGTCTTCAAACTTGACCAAGTTTTAAGACTTTGTGGACTTCATCCCTGAGCTAACATGACCGGAGGAGGAGGAATTCTGGGAGTTGGAAATCCACAAGTCTTAAAAAAGCCACCAAGTTTGAAGACCTCCTGTTCTAAGAGGTCAACCCAACCACGGCTCTCATTTCTGTCCTGGCAGCATCTTCCCGCAAGCGGCGCTGGACGAAATCCACCGGTTCGCCGGAAGCTACCAGTGCATGAATACTTTCAAAGGACGGACCTAAGACACCGTTGGCCATCAAAGGCTTGGTCCCCCTTTCAGGGATGGGCTGTTTGGTTCTTCCTGTCTTGCGGTGAGGCCTCCGAAAGGATGAGCCAGTCCAACTGCCACGGAAGGCCCAACGGACCAGGGTGGTTTTGTTTTCAAGGACCCCCGAGGCGCCGTTATTTTAGCTTGTGATGTTCCTCAGCTGGAGGCATCTCAGAGGGGTTCCACCACCTACTTTTTTCGGGAGGGCCGAGGAGGTCCGTTTGGGCTTCTCCACGCCACACTTCCAGGCAGGAGTTGGTTCTTGAGGTCCTTCTTGGAAGGAGGAGTGGAGTTTGGAGGTTGTCCTCTGCTTGGTCCGCCTTCACGGGAGATGAATTTCGCCGGCGGGAGGATCTCCAAAGGGTCCATGGATTGGGATCTCCCAGCCAAGCTGCCTCCAACTCCACCAAAACGGGTCTCACTGAAGAGCGACGGACGTTACGTGGATGTGGACGGAACCGCTCTTCGGACGGCTTCGGGGCGACTTCTCTGGAGAAACCCCACCCCGACCTATGGTTTTACAAGGCGCGTAAAGGCACGTCCTTCATCGAGATGGACGCTTGACCCCAAGCGAGACCTTCTCAGCTACTTGGGCCTGGACTGGAACAGTTGGTGGAGCCAAAAACCCACAGGAGGTGTTTCAACCAGGCTGCCTCCTGCCTTGGACGGTGGGGAGGGGGGAAGGGGGTCAGACTAGAAGATCTCCAAGCTCCCTTCCAGCTTGAGGAGCCTGTAATTCTGCATGGGGGATATCCATAAATCCAGAAACACCTTTCTGAGAGTGTCTTGGCTTTTGTGGTTCGTGGTGAACACTGAATCGGTCTCTGTGTGTGTGTGGTGTGTGTACATGTGCCCACAAAGACTCCTGGGTTACACACGGGGTAGTCCTTGGTTTATGCCTGCCCAGAATGTACGTCGCTGAGCTGAGAAATCCGTCCCGGGAGCTTCTGTTAAAAAGCGGAAGTCGGACCGTGGGAAAAACCACCTCCGAGACCATCATCCCCGGACCAGACTGGGCCGTGGCTCCTCCTTAGCGGCACCTTGGCTTTCTGCTCCAGGGCGCCTCACCCCCGCCTCGTGACGGACCTTCACGGGGGGGGGGGGTGTTTGCCCACCTATCTCTGGCCGAGTGGAGGAACAGGTTAGCCCGCCTGGGTGAAAAGTTCACACACACACACACACACGCACACACACACTCCCACACTCCTTGGGCCTGGCCGGTTGGCCGCCTGTTCCCTGCAGCTGAATTTATCGGCTGTTTGGCTAACCCTGCTCTGAACTCCGGGCTGTGGCTCACGTGGGGCGGGGAGGGGAGGGGACGGGCGGGGGGGGGGGGAGCCCTGCCTGGATTGTCTGCTCACCCTCTTGACTTGTAAGGGAAAAAGTGCAAATAGGAGGAGGAGGAGGAGGGAAGAGGCGGAAGGCGCAAGTCCCGGGGAGGGGAGAACAGGATGAGAGAGAGAGAGCTGGAAGGGGCCTTGGAGGTCTTCTAGTCCAGCCCCCTGCTCAAGGAGGAGAGACCCTAGACCATTTCAATCAATCGGCCAATAAGAAGAGAGCTGGAAAGGGACCTCAGAGGTCTCCTAGTCCAGCCCCCTGCTCAAGCAGGAGGCGCAGAATGACAGGATGACACCCCACCCCCGCCAGCCCTTCTTTTCGTGAAACTACAATTACAATTGCACAATTCCTGCAAACGTTCTTCGTACGTTTTAGCCTCCAGGCCTCTTGGTTGCTCTTCTCTGCGCTCTTTGCAGAGTTTATTTTTTGATATCATGGCGAGCAAAA